TAATAATATTACTGTAAACACAATAATATATCAGTGTTCAGGGGCGGATCTTAATAGCGGCTAGGAGGGGCTCTAGCCCCCCCAAGAATTTTGACATCTAGTATATATATATATATATATATATATATATATATATATATATATATATATATATATATAACCCATGCAATCATATAAAAAATTGTTGATTCTCACCTAAATAAATCGGCATACGAGTTATTACTAATATATTTTAGTTTTCTAATTTTATTAAATTCTAAAGAGAAAGTAGTTTCAAAATTAAAATAAAAAAATCATTAAAATATGAATAAGTTTTATAATAGATGTCTTCCCTTTTTATTACATCTTCTCTTCTGCACGCAAACATCTATTTACAGTAAACTAGAATGAAGAAAATTTTGAAGGTCTCCGTTCTATCCCCTATTATCTCTTAAATGATTGTATTGTTTGTAGATGTATATATTTTAATATTTACTTTAATCTTAAAAAAATAAGTTACATTTCTTTACCTATTCTAATTTTTTTTACTATCGGAAACTTAGCCCCCTCACGTAAATGGCTCATGGTCCGTCCCTGACTGTGGTTGACGGTAATATTACTGTTGTTATAGTAATATTGATGTCAACCACGTCAATATTATTATTTTGTTTGGATTTTTTTGTTTGTTTGAGTTATTCACGGAGTAACGTAATAATATTACTATCTATTATTGTAATATTACTATGGTTGCCGGTAATATTACTCTTGTTGTAGTAATATTACTGTCACTCACAGTTAGGGATGGCAATTTGACCCGCCCCGACGGATCCACGCCCCGCCCCGCCCCGAAATTTTCGGGTATTACCCGCCCCGAAAAAAATGGGGCGAGTATGGGGATTGAAATTTTTTTTGACCGGGTACGGGTACGGGGATGGGTTTGCCTATACCCGCCCCGTACCCGTCCCCGTACCCGCCCCGCATTATTTATATATATAATATATATTTTTTAATTATTATATTAAATATAAATAATTAAATAGTAGTAATATATTAATTATTAGTTAAAAATGGGGATTTTTAGGTTTCCATTATATAATTAAATATTAGTATTATAATTAAATATTGATTTAAATTATAAGTAAATTGCATATTTATTTATTAAAAAAAATTAAAAAAAATAGACGGGGATTTTTACCCGCCCCGATACTCGTGGAGATTTTATGGGGCGGGTATGGGGATTCTTTTAATACCCGTGGGGATTTTTGACGGGGATAGGGATGGGGATTTTCATAGCGGGCGGGGATGGGGATTGCAAAACCCGCCCCATACCCGCCCCATTGCCATCCCTACCCACAGTAATATTAATTCTTTTGGCCTTTTATTATGTTTACATTTGTTGAACGGTCAACATAGTAATATTACTCTATTACACAATAATAATGAGTTTTGTTGTATTAATATTATTGTGCTAGAGATTAATATAGCAATATTGTTGTGTTAAACTGTAGTTTAGTACTGTGTTTAACAGTAATATAGTTAATATTAATGTCAGTCACAGCAATATTGTTGTTTAAACGAGAAAAAAAAAATCAACGTCGGAAACCGGCGAAAAAATCCGGAAGAAAAAAGAAATAAAAAAATATCGAAAAGTCAACGTCGGAATTCGGTGGCAAAAAAAAATTGAAATTTTTTTTTTTGAAAAAAAAACGTTTTGGGTCAAATTTGAATAATTTGTGAAATTTGGGGTTAAATTGAGGTTAAATTAAATTAGGGATGAAATTGAAGCATATTAAAGTATGAGGGGCTATTTTAGTCTTTTACAAAAATCTGGACCATGTGTAGATTTATTTGTAAATGAGTTTTTTGTCTAGACTGTTTATGAATAAGTACCCATTGATGGGCTTATTTGTAATGACTTTTTTTTTATTGCACACACAGATATATTTATGTAATATAATAATTTATACATTTATCAAAATTGAGGCTTCTTACTGGTTTGAATTCAATATTTCATTTTTCTTAATGTAAAACAATATCAAAAAATCTTGTAAATCAGAAAAAAAAAAAAAAAAAAAAAAAAATATATATATATTACTTAACTATTAATGGGATCCGATCAGTAAAATTGGGTCATACTAAAAACCTAACATGAACCCGTATGGTCTAAACCCGCTTAAAATCCATTATTTTGGTTCTTGAAAACCCGCGGGTTTAGGACCTTCCACCCTATTGTCGGTCAACACAACAATACCCAAGAAAAAATGAAAAAGAAATGCAAATAAAAAAGGGTAAATGAGTGATACCCCCTATTTATGAAAATATATATAAGGAGGTTCTAAAGATTTTTCTGCCCTAATCAAAAACTAATATATATAAGGAGGTTCTAAAGGTTTTTATTAGGCAGGTCCCCTGGGCAACTTGAATGGCCTATTTCGCTCTTTTAGTTTCAATTCAATACATGTCCTAACCCCATGTCTTTCCCACTCACACGTCTAGCCGTTTATAGATCCCTCTCTCCATCTCTCCCACTCGTTAACTCTCTCTCGTCATATCTGGTGCCGACAAAGAAGAGGAAGAAGAAGCGCTGCTGCAGATGTTGGGTGGTGGCGGGCGGCAGATGCTTGGGCGTGACGGCTTAAACCGCCGGCGACGGTTGGTGACGTCATCGATGCACGGTCGAATCAACGCTAGCAATGCAGAATCTTCAACCAAAGACTAAAGCTATCCAACAAAGATATGTACTTTAATCCTATCAAATATAGAACATAAAGTTTCTCCACTGTTGCGGAGGTGGGTGTGGGGACTGGGGAGATTAGGTTGGGTTAGAGTTGATAGACTTCTTGTTACTTTGTTGCTTAGTTCTGAGGCTTGATATAGAGATAAATGTTCAACAGAGAAGTTTTACGATTTGTCACCCCCTCCTAGGTGACCTAACTGTATATTAAATCTTGTATTATTTTTTTAAAGTTTTAATGGATGTCTTCATTATTTTAACAGTTATTACACCACAAATGCACTCAACATATTTGAACTCTCATTTAATTTGTCAGTATCACATGTCCTGGTGTTTGAATAACTTCTATGCACCAATTTTTTTGT